ATAGTACTATAGCTTAAGTTTAATGTTTCTATATTTATTCCAATGCTTTGGTAAGCAGCAGCTAAAACAAAAGTAGCATTTCGGTTACTAGCGTTTGCTCTATCAAGGGCAGATGCAAGTTCAGGAGTCATAACATCAATTTTGGGAGGCGGATTGAGCTGACTGAAAGAAGGTTCATAGTCAGAAACGATTGCTGATTTCTGACTACCAAATGTTTCTGTATCAGTTGACGATTGGACACGTACCAGAGCACCACTATCCTGAACTTGATTATCAAATGTAGGCTGATCAATATCTGTGGAAATAATATGTATTAACAAATATTTTTGGTAAAAAAATAGACATTGGATTAAGCAGAATTCCATTTGAAATACTAAATGCAATAAATAATTTTTTTCTAGGAAATAAAATGATTAATAACCATTAACATCCATAGTATCTTGATCAGTTTTTTCGTTTGAAACACTTGGGTCAATAAATCCATAACGCTTGGTAGATCTTTGAACTTCTAAAAATAGTTGCTTTGTATCGTCAAGTTTCTGCTTTGGATCTAAATGAGCAATATCGAATAATTTACCAAATTTTTCTTTAAACATTGCCTCGTTTTTTTTCTGCATTGGAGACTTTTTTTTGTATTGACTTTTTTTGAGTTTTAACCATTTATTAAATAACTTTAAAACTTTTTGCACAGCATGAAAATTTTTACAAGTTGGAAGTTCAGCTTGCAACCATTTCTCTTCAACTTTTTTATTGTAACCGAAGCACTTTGTTTTAATGTTAGTGTAGGTAGCAGGAAATCAGAATCTCAGTAATTAAAAGATAATTTTATTTTAAATATGAAAAGCGTTATATAAAAATTGTTGTGTCAAAAGTACGTCTTGTCTTGTTAATTTTCGAAATCAGTAATCAATCAATCTTTTTTTGTTTCCTTTTTCCATGGTTACCATCCATCGGATAAGTAGGGTGCTAGTGTACGCAGCTATCGACCAAGATCATAATATATGTGATATTATAATGGTACCATCTGACATTGACACTTGACCAACCTCAAATAAAAACTGACTAAGAAACCTTAAAATAAATTGACGTAAAAGTCAAAACTAAAGGTAAGACTATGTGGTGCTATGATGTCGCCACAGTTAGCTTATGTATAAAATGCTGATATAAAAATACTGACAGAACCTCTTTATTTGTTGGTAATTTTCGACCAACAAAATTTTCCTGAATCTCACCGATTAAGTATTTTTTTAAATCCATTATATTCGATGGAATAATTAACAAAATAACTATAAAGTTACAGAGCAAAACTATAAATAGCACTATCCAAGGAAAATTTCAAAAGAGAATGTCAAAACAATGCGACCTCTTGCTATTAATATTAAGGGCTCTCGTTTTCACAGGTATCTTTTAACACCTTCTCGAATGTTTTTACATGAGGATTTCGAAAAAAAAAATTAATTATTTTTTTGAATCAGCCTACTCTACATTAATTAATACGATGTCCATAAAGCAAGCAATTATGACATTGCATTACTAGGGTGATGTATGGTACAACTCTGACTGGGAGACCATAAATTGAAATTTCCTCAGGAATCATTTTTCATGAAAAAGTAACACAAACCGTACCTGTTGGTACGTAGGAGATTTCTTTACCGGATTCCACAACTCTTCTATTTAGACGTTTGACATGAAAAAGTTTACAATTCACTAAATGAGTTTCAGTTGCCTCTTTAATTTCATCTGTAAAGGATCTGTCCACATACCTGACAATCCCTTTGCAAGAGATATTGTGTGATGGAATAAAAACTTCATAACCTTTATTTTCCATTTCTTTATCCTCTATAAATTGGTTGGCAGCTTGAGCATTGGTAAATATTGCACCTATACCGTTTTTCCTTTTTCTTACTATGTTGAGGATATCCTTCAGTTTCAGATTAAAAATGGTTTTTGCTATACTTATGCCGCGTTTGAGAATCCACATCGGATGCATCTGAGATGTAGTAAATCTTTGATCACGTGATTCAGTATACGTAAATGTAATGGGACAGATGTGTCCGATGTTGATAAAAAAACGCTCGAGATGTAAAAAATGCATCCGATGTGGATTCTCAAACGCAGCGAATTTATATGAAAATTTCCTAGATTATGTGTTTTTCCTTGGACACACACTTCGAAGGGGCCTGAGTCTGTGGTCGAATACAAGTTTTTAATCCTCAGCGGGGGATCCGGCGGATTCTTGTCCCCTAACTCCATGTGGGTTGGAAGTTAAGTTAACCTCTAGTTGTTTTCTGTTAGACAAATCACAAAAATATGTTTATATACAATTACTTACTAAGAATATAAGGAAGAAAATGGTTGAAAATACACAGGATGGTGTTAGAAATGCCCAAATAACGAAAGTCCTTGAAATGTTATTTGCTATTTGCCGATTCGTTTTGTTTGAGTTAAAAATAAATTTTATTTGCTATTTAAAAAACTGACAATCCACCTTTCCCGTTATTCGACAATTTCACATTATTCATGCGCGAAAAAAGCGCGGGGCATTTGAATTCAGTAATTTTATTTTTATTTTAATTTTGACATATTTTTTATCTCTCTTATCCTCAGTTTACAACTGTTGGGTTGGCTACGATGATTACCCCCTGTCATTGTTACTTTCATCTGGTCTATAAAGTAGGGAAGCCAATGACACTTTTTTGGTTCACATTTGCACAAGGCATTATCACTGCTCATTTGGAACACATAGCAAAGAAGTTTGTAAGTATGTGTACTGTGTAGGAATGACACTAGGCATGGTCGCCATTGTTCTGAACATTACCAAGCGTGATGCGAAAACTCTCGAAAATAGTTTCGGTTTCGGATGCAGTTTCGGCCAGTTTTCCGGTGAAACCGAAACTACAGCAGAAACTCTTATTTTAGGCCGAAATTGGTCGAAACCGATCCTTCGGAAGGTCTATTAATGTATTTTTTATTTTTGGTAAAATAAAATTAAAAGTTTTAATATGACAGAAACTACTGTAATAAAAACGAATAATTTATTATATAAATTGTATGCACAATAAGTAAGGTAAAATATTATTTTTTGATTTTGGTGTAAGGATAGTACAAAAACATCCCATCTACGTTAATAAGCTGCAATTTTAGACTCTTTAAGCTCGCATACAATGTACTTTTAATGCAACCGCCGAATAGTAGAAGCTACCTATTCGCTCAGTGCGAAGTCATGGCAGGGGAAGCAAAAGCGATACTAGCGCCAGCTGCGGATGATGCGTGCATTTTAGAGCGATATTTTGTAATTTTGGCATATCAACTACACGTATGCATAATATTTTTTTCAAAAAAATAGGTAAAAACAATAAAATAAGCAACCGGAGTTGCTGTGTTGTAAATTGTAAAAATACTATCAAAAAAAAACTGGAAATTAAATCAATGAAATAAATGGATAGCTGTACAATAAGAAGAAAAATTATCTTTATTTTTGTAATAACAGTAATACTGGAAATAGCAGTAGACATCAAAAACTTGAAAGGTTTTAAATAAACAATAAATTATCATTTTACGATGTTCTTCAACGTCTCTTTAATCTTAAATGTTTAGCAAGAAGTAGATCTCTGCCTTTGATTATTGTATGTGACTGGAATGAAATTTGATGACTTACTGATAGGAAACCAGATTTAATGATTCATTTTATGTTTTCTTTCGAACAAAATTGAAAACATAAATAACAATCCTTCTGTTTATACATTTCAACTTTAATTATTATTAACTATTATTTAATGGTATTTTTTTATTTTGACAATTTTTTAAAGACAACTTATTAGACTTCTTATACATTTTGCCGTAAATACTGTTGCCTGCCTATATTTTATTATTGATTTTAATTGATTATACTTAGCTTTTTTTTTTAGTTTAAGCTATAAATATATAATAATAATAATAAATTAACGTTTCACGTGTTTTAGAAATCCAAATCCACTTTTATTAAAACTAACATATATACCTTTTAATTAGGAATTCTATTAAAAATTGTATTGACAGTATACGAAAAAATAGTCCATTAGTACATAAATGCATTGGCGTTGCTGTCACGCACAGAACGAATAGGCCTAAGCAGAGGCTGTTTTTGTAATGGCGTCGTACTTGTCACGACTGCCTTCAATTTCAAAGCCTACTTCGTATTTACTGGGTTCTTTTGTACTACCAGATACCAAAATTTTAAAATTTTGTGCCATAAAATTTTTAATTTTTGAATAGCTGGATTAGGAATTTAAACTAGGTGCGACGTGCTGACGACGTGTACCTTTAGTTAACATCTGAGACGCGACCGTTCCTGCAGTCATTGCGTTTCCTATCTTTATGTCGCTTATCTCTGGTTTCATCGAATGCAGTAACGTTGCATAAAATGATGACAATTCTAATTTCTTCATTGATAGATTGATGGAAAAAATGCCGTAATTGTGTCAACGTTGTTAAATTATATTGAACAAAAGGACACATTAAATTAAAATGCTGGACAATTGAAAATCGTTGAAATCGTTCACTGTAAAAATCTATGCTTGACGAGTATTTTCTCCTCATAATAAAACCATAACCGTCAGTTCAATGTCACTAAATTGCGGCATTTTAAAAAACAATACTTTAAAAGAATAAAAAAGAAAATAGTTGAGGCAGGCCCGTCTTTTTAGAAATTTGGCTCGCTATGTCAAGGGGTGTTTGACCTTTTACAACAAAAAAGCTTAGTGGCGTTTTTTTCTATTTTTCAAAACAAAGTTGTTAATTAATTTAACCAAAAATTGCCATTTTGATTTTGCCTATATATTTGAGTAACCGGATCTGATATATTTGAACTTTGAAAGAACTAATAAATTGAAAATGCGCATCTTAGTCTTTATAACAGTCAACGAAAATTCCCATATTGTTTACTTTTATTTTCAACATCCTATATACATTATTAAATTATTTAAGTTTATTAAAAATATTCAGCTGAATATGTTTTTTAGGACGATCTTGCAGACGACGATATTATGATTTTGGACAATGGCGAACAAATATTTTTATGGTTAGGAGCAAAATGTAGTGAAGTAGAAATAAAACTAGCTCTCAAATCCGCACAGGTACAAATTTCAAATTCTTCTCTACGTCAAGATTATAATCATCGATTTTTTTTCAGGTTTATATTCAACATACGCGCGCCAAACAACCTGAAAGACCTCGAAAATTGTTTTTAACATTGAAGAATAAGGAATCCCGAAGATTTACGAAGTGCTTCCACGGTTGGGGCGAACACAAGAAACCACCCGAATAAATTATGTAATATATTTAACTAATTTTATTCTATGAACCCTTAACTATTATGTTTGGACGATCTAAAATATTTTATAAATCACACACTAAATTATATTTCGTTTAAAACAAGAGTTCCCGAATACCGATACAAAGACCGGTAGGGCATCGTTCAAGCTGTGGGCCCGCGTTCAGTCAGTGGGCCCTCGTACAATCAGTGGGCTCTCGTTCAGGCAATGCGCCCTTGAGGAAACAAAGAATCAAATGCAAAGAAACCCTGTAATACGTGGCAACCTCGTAAAAAGCACCAGTGTACAAAGAGGACCTATTTTTGCTATTCAATGAATCGCACCATGATAAAAAATTGATAGGTGGGCCCTTCTCCTTCCTGAACCGGTAGGCCCTAGAGGTCCCAATCCGATTTTGACCCTAAGTGACAAAATTGATGTCTTAGTTGGCTAAAAGTAAGATTAATAACTTTTTCAGTAACCTCACATTCTCAACTTCGAGCATATATATTATAGAGGCCGCATTCATCTGTGTTTGTTTGGGTTAAGAGGGGTAATAGGTAGACAATACCATTTCCAGTGTCGCATCATTTTTACGGGGTTTTGCAATTAATATAAATAATAAATTTGATACATACCTTTAAAATTCTTTAAATTATGCACATATTTTATAAACTTGCATTATTTAAGTAGGTATCTAGTAAATTATTATTATTTGTGTTGGACACATCATATTTTTTGTAATTGAAACATCAGAAAGTGTATAATGGAAAAATGAAGGTTGAAATAATAGGCAATAAAAAAGATAAAGAGCTTATATTTAAAAATCAAAAATATAAATAAATAGTAGGTATATTATACAAATATTTATGATATCTATTAACACACGTGTACGAGAATTACAATAAAAGAATTTTTTCCAATAATTTATTAAATATAAAAATATTGTTCATAAACAATGTTCAATAGACTACAAATAGAAATCAAGCTAATACATTTGCACTGCCAGTCGTTAACAAAAAAGTAAAGCTTAATTTTTATTGGGAAACTGTCTTAAGTTTCGATTATTTCTTAATGACTAGGAGTACAAATAAAAGAAACTTAAAATGACTTTTTTATTGAAAAACTCACATTAGGCTTTGCTTATTTCTTAACGACTAGCAGTCTACTTAATTAAATAATATAGGTATATTTATTAAAAAATAATTATTGGCAATTTTTGTGGTTTATAAAAAATGATTTTCTTACTTACATGTTTTCTAATTCTGCATTTTCTTATTCTGCAACAGAGGCTTCATAGTTCAGATCATCAATAAAAACGATTAACCCACAAGAAAAGTGCAGGGTTCTTTACCTTTTAGATTCATCTTCTTCTGGGGCCTCAGAAAATCCTGATGGCAATGCACCTGGAATTAATCTAGTTCTTGCTCCGCATCCTGCATTTGACATTAACATATATCCAGAAAAATGATTGGAACAGAAAACATCACTATTTGAAATGTTTATTATTATTATTATTATTATTATTATTATTATTATTATTATTATTTGATAAGAGCAGGGACCATAAGACCCATAAGCCCATATTAACTGAATATAAAACAATATTTCTAAAAACTAAATCAATAACAAGTACAACCGATGAATAAACAATGAAACAAATGAAATGTTAATTAAAAAATAGAAAATTATTAAGTTCGTTCTTGAAAACATTGACAGATGGAGCATTTACAACATTGTCCGGTAGAGAATTCCAAGTGTAGAATATTCGATTAAATACAAAATTTTGCCTCGTTTTCGTAAAAATTTGTTCTTTCTTCAGCTTCCATTTATGGCCACGTAGTCGATTTTCCCTGTCCACGATGAACATACAATTTAAATTTCCAAAGTTATATTTTAAAATATGAAAACAAATTATCATATCACCCCGCAGACGTCGGTTTTCAAACGTTTGCAGTTCAGCCATATGTAGTCTCTCTGCGTAATTAGGTCTCATACGTCCGAAAAACAGTCTGGTTGTTCGGCGCTGCACATTTTAAAGAATATTTTTATCCCGCACTAGTTCTGGACACCACACAGCTCCGCAGTACTCGATGATCGGACGAATGTATAATTTATACAGCCGGATCGAATTTTGAAAAGACAATTTTGCGAATGTTTTCTTTAATAAGTACATTTTCGTGTTCGCCTTTTTTTGACACTTGAAGAACGTGCTCAGACCAGCTGAGATTTTCAGTAATTATAACACCTAGATCATTGTAAGATTTAACTTTATTTAACGTATGACCGTTTAGAAAATAATTAGGACGAGGATTATTTTTACCAATATGGAGAACTACACTTTTATTTGTATTTAGAGGTAGCATCCAATCTGAGCACCAGTTATAGATGGAGTCAAGGTCATCTTGAAGCTGTTGGAAGTTCAAAGACGGGTCACTAAATATTTTAGTGTCATCTGCGTAAAAAATATTGTTGCACTTGATATGGAATTGAAGGTCACTGGCATATATTATAAATAAGAGTGGACCCAGAACTGATCCCTGAGGAACGCCACTCAAGACTGGTCTTCCAAGTGAATGCGAATTTCTATCAGTTAAGAATGACTCGATCCATTTAAGTAAATCACCACGTATACCGAGGTGTTCTAACTTATGTAGTAATCTTCGTTTCGGCACACGATCAAAAGCTTTCGCAAAATCCAGGTAAATAATGTCTATAGGTTTTTTCCTGTCTAATGAAACTGTCCACTCATTTACGCTTTTGGTCATGGTTGATCGCCCTTTTACAAATCCATGTTGCTGTTTGGAAATGATTTCTTCCACTAAGAGAAACTGAGAAACGTGCTCTGTTATTATGGATTCCATATCTTTACAGATTATGGGTGTGAGGTTGATTGGGCGGTAGTTATTAGAGTCTAGTTTGTTTCCTTTCTTGAAAATGGGTGTTACAAAAGCTTTTTTCCAGATAGAGGGTAATATGTGTGTATTAAAAAACAAAGACATTATAATAGATAAAGGAACTGATATGGTATTAGAGCATTTTTTAAAAAATAGATAAGATATTTGATCTAGACCCGGAGAGGATTTGTTTTTTAATTTTAAAAGGTGACGTTTGACAATTTCAGGAGTAAAATTGAGCCGTTCTAAGGAAGAAGGGATTCTTTCGGGTGAGATATCTGGTAACTGATCCTGGGGAGGTTCATTGGTGAAAACTTTTGTAAAGGTATTAGCTAAAAGTTCAGCCGTTTCGAAATTATTTTGGCAGGGACTTCCATCTTCTTTGTTTAGTAAAGGAATGAATACTTTTGATGACAGTGAAGATCTAATATATTTGTATAATTTTTTACAGTTTTGGCTGCATGCTATCGACTCTTCATATTCTTCTCGGGCCTTATTTATAAATTTCTTCAGGTCCTTGGAAAAATTTTTGTGATATTCTAGATCGACAATATTATTTGATCGCTTATATTTACGCCATAATTTACTTTTATGTCTAATCAAGGATATTAGTTCTCCGTTGATCCACGGTTTTAATTTATTTTTGTAAAACACCTTCTTTTTAGAGTATTGGATTTTATGAGTAGTAATAACGAACTTATTCCATACTTCTGCCGTATCTCCCGAGTTCTTTAAATTTAATTCACTAAATTTACCATTTATTTTAAATTCATGTTTAACGGCCTTTTGCATAAAATATTTGTTTCTTTTAAAAAATGGTAGAGACGCTAATGGTTACTTACTTGTAAAATGACCTTGACTGTGCCTTTTCATATTTCTATTTACAACTTACATAAACTCTCACCATTGTTAAAATTTGTGTCATTAAAGTAATAAAATACAAAAAATCACTTATAAATTACAAAAATAAGCTATACATTAATGAAAATCAAAAATCAAATGACAGTTCTGACAATTTCGAACGATTTGATATGGCAAGCAAACTGAAACAGACCAAGGGGAACTCTGGGCACTATTTTTCCCCCCCCTACCAAAACAAAGTCCATTTGGACGATGGCTCTAGTAATATATGCTCGAAGAGTATTCCATGTATACCGAGGTTTTTTACATTTTATTTTTGGTGTTATTTTCTTAAGAATACATACTTTTTTATGTCATTCTTTACACTGCTGTCTTACTATTAGATGTTATAAATCTTTGATCACGACGTGATTCAGTATACGTAAATAATGTAGTAGGACAAATGTGTCCGATGACTCCGATGTGGATAAACAAACGCTCGAGATGTAAAAAATGCATTCGATGTGGATTCTCAAACGAGGCAATTAATAATGTTTGCTTTGCAATCGACATTTTTTTTATTGATTTTTCACCATCTGATCAGTATCAAATATCAATACATTAAAATTAAATAATAAAATTATAAACCGTCCGAACATTTAGTTTTAGGGGTCATAATATTATATTTATTGAGAGAAAGGAAAAATTTTGGAATCACTCCAACTATTTGTTTTTAACCTCGCCTTTAAGGGCGGCGTCTGGCCATATCTCGAAAACCGTTTACCTGGACAATTTCGGGATTTTTCTTTAAAAAGCTGCCCAAAAGAAAATGCAATAAATTCCATGTGGTTTAGATACCACAAGGCAAAGTAATTTTTTAAAGTATTTTTAAAAAACCATTTCTTAAAACATATTTCATGAACGGTTTTCGATATTAAAACTAATGCCAGGAAGTATCGTCAAACGGGGTGAATCGGGACGATTTTTAGATATTATTATTAATATTTTCTTCTAAAACTATCGAAGAAAATTAAAATTTAGGGGAAAGTGATCGTAGTCAATACGGCTGCTGAAATATGTATTGGATAATTATCTGATTTGAATAAATTAATTAAAAAAATATATAATATGGTGTGTCCCGATTGACCCCGTTTTGGGGCGAATCGGGACACGCTATTTCAAGCCATGCAATGTGCATGTCGCCTCGAGTATGGGGTTAATCGGGACAAAAATAAATTAAAATATTTTTTATTTATTTTTTAATATAAAAGGTAAAA